CAAGCTTTTGAATAGACTCCTCGTATGGCTTAACATTTCGGACGCGGGAGAATTACAATTCATCGCTGCAGTAATTTGTCGGGAAAGGAGTACACCTTTCATGTCACCACCTTGTTTGTCCACTTGTTTGCATCAGGGGCATCAGTTCAAAAGCATGAATACAATCAAACAAGTGCGCAATACAATTGTAACTGATCAGCCTCCTGAAACCTGATAAACTCGATGAAACTAGAGAACATGGGAACCTTCCAATGTATCATCATCATCATCATCACCATCATTGACAGCATGACATCAGTGTTCAACACTGATGCTTCACTGCCGTAATAAAACCCTTCCAAGGTAAATCGCACACAAAGGGGTGGGAGGCCAAAGCAAAGTTTGAAACGACTAACGCCTCTGTCCCAGCTGATGGAATTATGGACAAAACGCAGCGATCACGAAAGACTCTAGATTGCATGTAAATATTTACAGGCTAGGGTAAGGAGTGATGTATCCTGGGCTACATTTTTTCGGCTTCGCGCCGCACTCGGGCGGCGAATGTTCGGGAAACAAGGTTCCATGCGTCAACGTAACGATCCATGCACATTCCAACACACTTCTGGGTGGAAAGGAAGAGGGTGATTAACAGCTTCATGAACAAACCTGTTCCGAGTTATCCAGACTCACGCCGGGTTTTGGAACACACTTCTCAAAGCACTTATCGGACATTCGCTGGCGAAGTGGAAGGAGTTAAGTAATATGAACGCTTACCTGTAAAAGCTCTTGTGCGCTTGCCAACGCAACCTCGGCCTTCATTTGTTCCATGAGTTGCTCCTTCTGAGCGCTGGTCAACGAGTTTAGATTGAGCCCAGAACCGGAAGTGTCCATATTTGTCAGAATAGTGTAGATCCGAAGAAGGAAGCCGTTGTGGCTGGAAAAAAAACAGAAAAATACTACTGATAAAACAGGCCTATTGTCATGAGCAGAAGTGAGTCACATTCGCCTGAAGGTTGGGTGTGTCAGCAAAACTGCTTCTGATAGAAATCGCCATCACGACGACAACACCATATGAGAACTCTGCTTTTTCACTGCCGTACCACCATGAATTCTCCAATCTATGGTTGTACGATGGCTGGCATATTGTCAGAGAGCCAACCTAAGCAGGAGAAGTAAACAAGTCCTAGAAGACCAGATGAGACGATGTCAGCAATTAATTTCATCCCTAGCCGTTCAGAGCCTGAACAACATGGATGCAGGGTCTACTCCATGCACACAAAACCATGTGTGATTGATACCCACAAAGAAGTCGCACAACTTTTATCACAAATTAGCTAACTCTCTAGGTGACGTTTCACAACTCCATCGACTGGGTGGCTTCAATATTGCTACTAAAGCTATCAGTTTGGTCGACCGAACCCCAGTATGGACATATTCGGGACAGAAAAGTAACACGCGTGAGGACCCCAAGATGGTTTGCATCTAGACCCACACAAACGAAATCAAGATGTAAGTTGAGCACAGCGAGGAGGCAATAACTTGAATTCCTGAGCGGCATTCAGGGCACGACCGGGCTGTCAGAAAACGTATCTAGCTAGAGATGTGTCCCAACTCTGGAAACAGCAATGACCGGCACAGCTGAATTTGCTAGTAATGGTTTTGGAACTTCGCTGCCAAGTCTCTGCTTGACTCTCTTGGCCCGCTTACACCCTTCCACGTGGTTGTACGAAAAGAGTCCGACAGAATTGGTCAACCGACATACGGGACACCTAGCCAAGCCGGCGACACCTACACAGTGTGATCAGCTCATTTATCGAGGGTGAGTTATTTCTTCCGAATACCATCCGACATACATCAGCATTACTGGTCCGGTCTTCCCGCCACATTCGGGAAACGCACCCAAGACATCGATGGTCAAACACTGAAAGACTTTTGACATCATCGGCGCGCAGTGGCAAGGTTTATGACTTGTACAGTAATATGTAGCGCACCGCAGCACTCGACCTTGACGGATAAGCTGGTGTCACGCCTGTGCCACAGGTCACGCAAGTTCACAAAAGCGCTCTGGCCTTCCCAATCCGGATGGAAATACCGTCTTTCGCGAGACCACCGGGACTGATATAGCTGCCCAGGCACATAAATCTGTCTGCTACCTCAATCGGCTTATCAGCAAGCACGAGATTAAGGTTTGACCCCACCCAGTCTTTCAGTAGAACTTTACAATTTACAGGTGTGAAGCGCATATCAAACCGTGAGGCGGAAGTATTTATTTTATTCAGTATTGCTTGAATAACCACAAAGTCAGAACCAAGAAGAGTTATGTCGTCTGCGTACCCGATATCTGTGAGCGGACGCCCCCGAAGCAGTTCGACCCCACAGGCATTAGAGGCTGATAATGAGTCTTCCATTATCGTGTCAACCACGCAGTCTGAAAGGAAAGTTGAAAGGCTGCCCTGTCAGGCACCAATTGATGTGGTGAACTCAGATGAGAGTTCACCGTGGACCACACTCAAACGTTCGCGAGAAATGGCGCACTGCGCCATAGAGATGGTTTTTCACGGATTCACGGATTGATACACAGGATCGAGGCTTTTGCCCAAGTTTCCCGGGTCGGTTTTGTTCTTGTCGGTCAGTGGCTGTCGTTCACCTGGAAGGCACAAGTGAAAAAAGGGTGTAGCACTGCTCAGTCGAGAGGTTATAGGAAGCACTTCCGCTCAACGGACACCAGCATTGTGCCTGAGTGTCTACAAAGTCAAAGGCAGTTTTCAAGTTAGGGAAGACGTTCATAATTAGTATATGGAAGCACAGTCCGGAGGCGGGCCAGCCACAATAGCCGAACAGCATGCCAATTTGAAGAACGAGTCACGTGCGGGCTACGGACACAACGAAGGTATGCTCTGGTTGGTCAGAATGCCAGCCAATCATGGATTCACAGATTCACGGACTCACGGGTTGATACGCAGGATCAAGGCATTTGCCAAAGATTCTCAGGTCTGCTTCGTTCTTGTCGGTCAGCGGCTGGCGTTCGACTGAAACGCACAAGTAAGCAAAGGTGTAGCACTGCTTTTTACGTTCTCAGCGCGGGGCAGAATGTTTGCCAGTGCGAGGAATCGCATAAATAAATAACTAATAATGCTATAAACTGGATTCTAGAAGGAGCGTGGACAACCGACGGGGGAAGGTCATCCAGCGCAGCTACTACCCGAAATGGGAAAAAATTTTTGTCTAATGAATGTATGTGCTCTGAGCTTGAAAATTTTCCTACTATGTCCCCGCTGTTTGCTTGCTGGGTCAACGGTGAAAAATCTGTTTGCCAAGCTATGTTCAAACAGGGCATAAGTGAGAATTAGGTACCCTCGGAGGCGAGGGTA